GATTGGGGAGAAAATCCTCCTCCTCCTCCTCCTCCTCCTCCTCCAAGAGATCAGAAACATCACATAGGAATTTTATTTAAAATGGGTTCTTCAGTCAAAGAAGGGTAGAAAACAGTAGTCTGAGCCAAGCTATCCTCCTCCTCCTCCTCCTCCTCCTCCTCCTCTTTAATATGCATTGTGAATCTCTAAATTCCTCCTCCTCCTCCTCCTCCTCCTCCTCCTTTCAAAGTTAGTGGCTATTGGTCTTCTCTCCTCCTCCTCCTCCTCCTCCTCCTCCTCCGCTCTCTGTATACCTGTTAGAGTTACAACTCCTCCTCCTCCTCCTCCTCCTCCTCCTCCTCATTTTCAGAAAAACTGATTTGCTCTTTTCCTCCTCCTCCTCCTCCTCCTCCTCCTCCGAGAGACAGAATAATTTAATCTCATGGCTAATTAAAAGCAATGGGTATTAGAACCCAAGTGAGGGAACTCCCAGGAGACTGGTTTTTCTCCTCCTCCTCCTCCTCCTCCTCCTCCTCCAAATTTACTTTCCAAAATCACATTCCTTCTCCTCCTCCTCCTCCTCCTCCTCCTCCTCCTAATAATGATTAATTTGTCTTTAATGTCTTCCTCCTCCTCCTCCTCCTCCTCCTCCTCCTGCATAAGTTTTAGATGTAACGTGAAGATTCCTCCTCCTCCTCCTCCTCCTCCTCCTCCGCTATTAGCTTATCTCAATTTTCGAGCTATCCTCCTCCTCCTCCTCCTCCTCCTCCTCCTCTTTTGCAGCGGCTCTAATTAGAGGAAATCCTCCTCCTCCTCCTCCTCCTCCTCCTCCCCTTGACTGGTTGATCAGCAGATTGGAAATCCTCCTCCTCCTCCTCCTCCTCCTCCTCCGTTTTCTCCTTGTTGTGATAGATCACTCCTCCTCCTCCTCCTCCTCCTCCTCCTCCTCCAAAAACAAAAACAAAAACAAAAACACTTTTCCTCCTCCTCCTCCTCCTCCTCCTCCTCCCAGATACTCAGGAGGCTGAGGTAGGAGGATCCTCCTCCTCCTCCTCCTCCTCCTCCTCCTGCACTGTGGTCGCTGCACTCCAACATGGACAACATACTGAGACCCCATCTCTAAAAAACAAAAACAAAAAACTCTGATGTTTGGTGTGATGTAAGTGTTTTCCTTTTAAATTATGTTAAGTATTTTTATTTATCAAAAAATCATTAGTATTTTCATTAGTCATTTCTGAATAGTCATCTAACAATATCATGTCCATTTATATTTTTCCTCCTCCTCCTCCTCCTCCTCCTCCTCCACTAAAGAGCCATAATTCACATTCTTTTTTCCTCCTCCTCCTCCTCCTCCTCCTCCTCCATAAAAAGGTCAGTTTGGAGTTCTCATTGTTTTCCTTGTATTCGAAAGATTATTTGGATAGATTGGGGAGAAAATTTGTTTTCCAAATTCCTCCTCCTCCTCCTCCTCCTCCTCCTCCTTTAGTAAATACTCACAAATGGTCTATATTCCTCCTCCTCCTCCTCCTCCTCCTCCTCCGATACACACGTCTCTAACAAGATGCTAGTTTTATTTCAGTGTTGTGGACTTATCAATGACTGTGATGATTTATCAGTGATTTCGGACTTCCTCCTCCTCCTCCTCCTCCTCCTCCTCCTTAGAGCTCTCTAGTTCAAACATAATTGTTTGAACTCTCTAGTGCCATAGATGGCCTCAGTGGCACCCGGATGAATCTACTGCTTTTCTCCTCCTCCTCCTCCTCCTCCTCCTCCTCCCCTTCTCTATCACTAAATGCCCTCTTATGTCCTCCTCCTCCTCCTCCTCCTCCTCCTCCTAGTAATGAACTTCTTGGAGGTAGGGGCATCCTCCTCCTCCTCCTCCTCCTCCTCCTCCCTACCATACCATCTGGCACCTATAGGTGTTTAGTATTGTTTGTTGAATGAATGGATGGATGAATGTTAAAATTCACTCAAAAAATACCTCCTCCTCCTCCTCCTCCTCCTCCTCCTCCTGCATGATAAAGACCCACTCAGGGACAGGTCCTCCTCCTCCTCCTCCTCCTCCTCCTCCAAACAGCCATAATTAGAGAGAGTAATTTTTCCTCCTCCTCCTCCTCCTCCTCCTCCTCCATAGTGGAGGACAAAAATTTGTAGAGTTTTCCTCCTCCTCCTCCTCCTCCTCCTCCTCCATGAGTACTTGGGCACTGCTAGATCATTGTCCTCCTCCTCCTCCTCCTCCTCCTCCTCCGTTATAATAAAAACAAAAATAATTATGAGTCCTCCTCCTCCTCCTCCTCCTCCTCCTCCTGTAGTGACTGGGCATTAATTGCAGAATATATTAAGGAAAAACCTGTAACTACTAGGAGAAAGAGTGACCAAGTAAGTGGTACTGAAGTCCTCCTCCTCCTCCTCCTCCTCCTCCTCCATTCATTGCCTTGCACCAAGAAAATTAAGTCCTCCTCCTCCTCCTCCTCCTCCTCCTCCTTAGGAGCAGAGGTTTAATAGGCAAAAGATCCTCCTCCTCCTCCTCCTCCTCCTCCTCCAGAGAGAGAGAGGGAGAGGTAGGGGGAGATCCTCCTCCTCCTCCTCCTCCTCCTCCTCCAGAGAGAGAGCCTGAATGAGAAATCTGGCCTGCACCAGAGTGCACCAGATTTTACAGGCAGGCTTGAGGAGGTGGTATCTGATTTGCATAGGACCTGGTGTGACATTTACATAGCATGCCAGGAAGGCTGGCCACCTCACCCTAATCTCCTCCTCCTCCTCCTCCTCCTCCTCCTCCGCCATGTTGCCTGCTCCTTACTGTACACGTCCTCCTCCTCCTCCTCCTCCTCCTCCTCCGCCATTTTGAACATGCCTAATCCCAGGTGTCCTCCTCCTCCTCCTCCTCCTCCTCCTCCTCACCCGTGGATGCTTCCAACTTGCTTGTTCCTCCTCCTCCTCCTCCTCCTCCTCCTCCTCTTTGTTAGAAAAGAAAACGATTTGGGGTCCTCCTCCTCCTCCTCCTCCTCCTCCTCCAAGGACTCCTGTACCCTCACTATCTGCCTGAATAATTTCTCCTTAACTCCTGTATCAGGAACAAGATGGTGGCATAGATTGCAAAAATGGATAAACGTTTAGGGCAAAGTGTCCAGAATCACTGGGAAGCTACAGAAGACATTTAAACAATGCTCATCTCTTCTGCTGGACCCAGTGGTATCTGTAAAGGGATAGGTGCAGGGCAATCCTCCTCCTCCTCCTCCTCCTCCTCCTCCTCAACTGTGCAGCAAAATGTTTAACTGGAAACCAGAGAGAGAGAGAGAAGGCATGAAAAGAGCCACTCATCCTTTAAGGTCAGCGAAGTCCTCCTCCTCCTCCTCCTCCTCCTCCTCCTGGTCAGTTATAGGCACAGTTTCATCAGATCCTCCTCCTCCTCCTCCTCCTCCTCCTCCCAGTCAATCTGTTGATTGCAGGCATTCCTTCCTCCTCCTCCTCCTCCTCCTCCTCCTCCAACATAATAAAAGTCAAGGGAAAGAAGGACCCTTAGAGAATATTTAATCTAACATTCTTACTTTAGAGGAAAAGAAATTGAGACAAAGAGCATTGAAATGACTGACTCGAAATCCTAGAATTAAATACTGTTACTGTGAAGGTTAGATCCTCCTCCTCCTCCTCCTCCTCCTCCTCCTGTCCGTGATACTTCGTAGCTCCTGTTTTTAAAGTATCTAAAATATATTTTGCTAAAGAGTTTTTCTACTGTAGTTTACATTTATGCTTCCTCCTCCTCCTCCTCCTCCTCCTCCTCCTGGTGTTGCTTAGTTTTTAGAGGCAGTAATCCTCCTCCTCCTCCTCCTCCTCCTCCTCCAACTTACTTCAATTGTGCTTTGCTGTTTGTCCTCCTCCTCCTCCTCCTCCTCCTCCTCCTTCTCTCTGTAATAACTCTGACATTGCTGTCCTCCTCCTCCTCCTCCTCCTCCTCCTCCGCTGCAGATTCAAACTGAAGAATTCTTGATCCTCCTCCTCCTCCTCCTCCTCCTCCTCCGTCTTCCTGGGATCTAGACCCTTCTAGTCTCCTCCTCCTCCTCCTCCTCCTCCTCCTCCGGTTGTTCTGGTTGACGTCTGGCCTGAAACACCTAGTTTACCATTGCTAGATGCAGAAAAATGCCTAGGATTGCCTTAAAAAACAATATCCTCCTCCTCCTCCTCCTCCTCCTCCTCCTAGTTAAATAATATTACAACAATATTTTCTCCTCCTCCTCCTCCTCCTCCTCCTCCTCCTTAGATGTATATCCTGAAATATATTTAGAATATATTTTTAAATGAAAATTCATTTTTAGAATGTGTGATAGGATATATTTTTGTAAAATCCTCCTCCTCCTCCTCCTCCTCCTCCTCCAGAAGTGAAAAAAGGAAAGAAGGGGCAAATCCTCCTCCTCCTCCTCCTCCTCCTCCTCCCATGCATAGGCTGTAGAAATATGTACACCTCCTCCTCCTCCTCCTCCTCCTCCTCCTCCATTAGAGGAAAGAAAAAGGGTAAAACACTTCCTCCTCCTCCTCCTCCTCCTCCTCCTCCAAACCTGTGATAAATAGCAAATTGGAAGTTCCTCCTCCTCCTCCTCCTCCTCCTCCTCCTCTAATGAACAGTAACACCAATTATTTTTTCCTCCTCCTCCTCCTCCTCCTCCTCCTCCTTATTACTTTTTCCATTCTTTACATTCTGTCCTCCTCCTCCTCCTCCTCCTCCTCCTCCTATCTACCTGGTAGGGCTGTTAGGAGGATTAAATGATTAATATTTGTAAAGTACATAAAAAAGTATTTGGTGGCTGGGTGCAGTGGCTCACGCTTGTAATCCCAGCACTTTGGGAGGCTCAGATGGGCAAATCACCTGAGGTCAGGAGTTTGAAACCAGCCTGGCCAACATGGTGAAACCCCGTCTCTACTACAGATACAAAAATTAGCCAGGCATGGTGGCAGTTACCTGTAATCCCAGCTACTGGGGAGGCTGAGGCACGAGATCCTCCTCCTCCTCCTCCTCCTCCTCCTCCGTTAGCTGAGATTGCACGACTGCACTCCATCCTCCTCCTCCTCCTCCTCCTCCTCCTCCATCTACCTATCTATCTATCTATCTATCTGTCCTCCTCCTCCTCCTCCTCCTCCTCCTCCTATCTATCTATCTATCTATCTATCTATCTTCCTCCTCCTCCTCCTCCTCCTCCTCCTCCTCCATCCAACAATTTCAGTTAGATTCTTATCCTCCTCCTCCTCCTCCTCCTCCTCCTCCTGTAAGAGGCCTTTTGGCAACATGGTGTTTCCTCCTCCTCCTCCTCCTCCTCCTCCTCCCTGACCCAAACTAGGAAGGAGCCGGGCAGTCCTCCTCCTCCTCCTCCTCCTCCTCCTCCCACCCAGTCTCCTGCCATTTCTGCTTTCCTCCTCCTCCTCCTCCTCCTCCTCCTCCTCCCTAATGCTGGCAGATGGCTGCAGCCTACGGGTTACTGCATCTTTACTCCAGGCGAGAGGATTGAGGTAGGGCTGAACCAGTGGAGATACTGATAATGCAAGCATTACCTCTACAGTTACATGGCCCGTAGACAGACCTCTCGCTGATTCCTCCTCCTCCTCCTCCTCCTCCTCCTCCTTTCATGAATTTACTTCCAAACATGATTTTCCTCCTCCTCCTCCTCCTCCTCCTCCTCCTTCTGTTGCCAATAGTGAGGAAAAAAAGCTCCTCCTCCTCCTCCTCCTCCTCCTCCTCCAGTAGAAAAACAAACAGCAGAGCTAGAGTTCCTCCTCCTCCTCCTCCTCCTCCTCCTCCGCTGAGCTGCAGTCAGCCTTGACTGTCAGTCCTCCTCCTCCTCCTCCTCCTCCTCCTCCAGGAATACACACACACAC